AAGACAACGCAGAGTGAAGATGTTCCTGTAAGTACTTCTTTAAATAAACCGTTAAGTCTTGGCATTTCCTAAAAAATTGTTATACACTGTAAACCTTATATTAAATAAATGTATATTTTATCCAATGGTTGTTTGGATTGAGAGAGAACGGTATAAGACCCTTGTGCTAAACAACCCCAGCTAAATGACAATAAAGAGTTATTAGTTCCTTTACTCCTAGTATTGAATATAAACCGACCGAGTCTCCATAGCTCAGCGCGTAGAGGTTCCGCCTATCAAGCGAGGAGACAGAAGGCAAAAACTGGCATTTTTGTTTATATTCGGATAGTAAAGTATTAAATAATTCTAGTAATTCAAAAAAAATATTTAATACTTTACTATCAGAATATAAACGAAAATAAAATAAAAAGTTTTTGCCCTGACCCGGTCTCAAACTCTGAACCCTCGGTTTGTAGTCGGAAACTCCAGCGCGTAGAGTTTCCTAGCTATGGAACTTGTTCGAATTTTATTCAATACTAGAATTTAACGGACTAAATAAAAAAATATAGGATCTTCTTCCGATGCGCAGTAGTGAACGCAACGGGTATCGGCAGCCAGATGGGCCGCATGCTGTTCTAGAGAGCATAGTAGAAGGTATATCAAAGAGCCAGCTTTCTTAAAATACTTTTTCGAAACCGTTATATTTACTCTTAGACTATTATGTGCGACGGTGCATACGGTTCCACCCTGCAAAGTTGAATAGGAAAACGTTTCGTTTTCACCATTTCATCAAGGCGGGACTAAGGATTTGATATTGAAGAAAAATGTGGGTCGATTTCGGCATAATTGGGGATGGACGCCTTCGGCATTTCGAACCGATGATGCCACTAAACGAGAGAAAGCATAAGGATTTTTCTTAATTATGGATTGGAAACAAACTAGGCACGTGGAGAGAGGTACCCGAATAGAGTCCTCAGACCGACAGACATGCAGGCAGAAGTAAGAGGAATTTTCAATTGAAATATGTATGCGCACATAGTGTACACACATTTTTTTTAGGTGTTTATTATATGTATAATAAAAAATTGTTAACTGATCTTGTTTTGTCCAAAAATGTCGATATACGAAAGAAAGTAATATTTAAAAAGTTTACTTAAAATAAATTATAGTGATTTCAGCCAAACAAGTCTTGCTGTGGAATGTCTAGAAAAACTTTTCTACAAAAAATAATGTTGTTAATTTTTTTTGTTACATTTTGCCACAACTGCTTATATAACTTATGCAAAAATTGTGTAGCTTAGGTATTTAGTTTGGGTACGTACTTGATAAGGACGGGTAATATGAATCGCTCAAACGTTGCAGTTAATCAAAAAAATATAACAATGGACGTTCGATATAACAGTTTATTTTAAAGTATTGCGGTTGATTGAAAGAATTGGGAAAATACACAATCTAATGGGCAAATTGGTAACAAGGCTGATTTGATTTCCCCTTGCATCTAAAGCCATATTCAAATGTGTAATATCTGTAATACGTTTGACGAAAATATCGTTGGATGAAAAATGTATTCATGTTAAACATAGAATAAACAACAAAAATAAAAATTCTTTTATAGGTACTGAATATTTCGTATGACCGAAAAAAGTCGTTTAGTTGGCTTGAAAATGACGACTATTGACATTTACCAATTTTACAACGAGCCAACTCTGACGCCGTTTTTTGGTTAATCCTATAATATTATATTAAATTGTTTAATGAAAGAAAATCCGTAATATTAACGTACTATGCCCAAAATCCGTAAATCTGCGGATTAATAGTAGTTCCGTAGTTCTAGCAACATTATCTCCGCCAGCCACCCACTCTGTCGACTGTAAGCAGAATTGAAACACTACGTCACTTTCACAAACTACGTTACAGAACTCTTTATCCGCTGCGCTGTAAACTAGTGATGTAAACTTTAGTTACTTTTATGGACTCGTAACTACTAGTTACTCTCTCTCTCTCTCTCTCTCTCTCTCTCTTTCTCTTTCTCTCTAAAAAATATATTCCTCTGTGGCGGATTCATCTCTTCAAAAAAGTCCTTTGGATTAACGCAGCAGTGTTTATTAAAATTTGCAGATTTTCTTACAGTGTAAGTGGCGAAATATCTATTCTTTTTTGAAGAGGAAAAATATTTTCTCTGCTTTTTCAGATGGGAACATTTTTTGTGACTAACGTGAATCCATTTTTAATGAATATCTAAGACATGTTAATCTAAATAAACAATTCTATTCTTCGCCGACCAAGCAACTATAAATCAAAAAGTAAAACACACTCTACCCCTAAATAATATCTTATATTACTTATTTCAACTAAAATTGAAAAAACGTGTGGAATTGCCTAAATAAAAAGCGACAACAAACGGCAAAGGGACAGACCAGGACAGACCGCCGCCGACGCCGGCCGGGTCGGCATGAGCCAAGAGCCAGTTATAGTAATTGTAATAAAAATATCACACATTTGCCATCCAAAACACTGGCCGGCTTCAAGTCAACACTTTAAACATAAACATATTGATAACAACTAGACATACGTCGAAGTAAGGAATATTTCAGTATCGAGTTTCAAGTCCTCAGTTCGTGCATTTCCAGGGATTACGATTAGTGCCGGCGCAAAAGTAACGAATTAGCTTAGTAACGAGTAACGAGTCCTAAATTCAAATGGCAAGCGTTACTTCGAGTCCTCGTAAAGTAACTGTTACTTTGTAACGATTACTTAGAATTTTTACAACACTACTGTAAACTACTATCAGCGCGTAGCGGCGCAGAGCTAAACTAAATTTTCGACAGGTTGACTAGCGGCGACGGTATCGCCAGTTACATCTCGGACAGGTTTTATGACACGAAATTGCCCGTAAGATTGCACATCTCTTTATTTCTTCAATCAACGGTATTACTTTATTTCCCACCAAGCCAAAGTTAGATCATGTGATCTCATTATTGCCGGATCTAGTAACCCATCAAAAGCTGTGTGGCAAATCATTGACCAGCATAGAGGATCCACTAAGAAGTGCGATCAAAAATGTGGTATAACAACGGATACATTTAACACCTACTTCGCCAATATTGCTCATGATATAGTAAAATCAATACCACCATCTCAGGTTGATCCTCTTGAGTTCGTGCATGATTTTGCTGTCAGTGAGACCCCATTCTTTTTCTCTGGCGTGTCACCTGTTGAAATCAGAGATGTTATTGACGGCCTGAAAAATAAGAATAGCTCTGATGTGTTTGGATTAAATGTAAAGCTCATCAAGTCGGTCAAAAACCAACTAATAGGTCCTCTAACTAAACATATTAATCAGAGTTTCAGAGAAAACACTTTTCCAGATGTACTGAAGATTGCCCAAATAACGCCTGTTTTTAAAAAAGGCAACCCTGAAGATCCTGGTAATTATAGGCCCATCTCTCTACTACCTATCATCTCAAAGATCTTTGAGAAGTGTATTGCTTCTAGGTTAACGCATTTCTTCGAGAGAAATAATCTCTTTACACCGTGCCAGTTTGGCTTTAGAAAAAATAGGTATACGGTTCTTGGTATCCTGGACCTTGTGTCTTATGTTCTGGAGTCTTTTGATAATCTTGACTTTACAGGGGCCTTATTTTGCGATCTAAGTAAGGCATTCGATTGTGTACCACATGACATACTGTTACGGAAGCTTGAAAGGTACAATTTTAGTCGGGATAGTATTAATTTCATGCGTTCCTATCTTACTTCTAGAGTTCAGGTTGTGAGGGTCGGTGGGGAGTCATCAGCGATGAGTCATTTTAATATTGGAGTGCCCCAGGGCTCAGTGCTCGGACCAATTTTATTTTTGATATATATCAACGACTTATCATATATAGACTCAACATCTAAATTTACACTTTTCGCTGATGACACAACAGTGGCCTTCTCATCTGACTCATTGGAAGGTGCCATGGAGGGGAGTGAGGTAGTGCGGGGCCATGTTGAGGCATGGTTTTGTGCCAGTAGGTTGCTCCTGAATCCTGACAAAACCAATAGGATGGGTTTCTCTCTTAGGGACTTAGAAACAGCAAACGCAGATGTCCAGAGTATTAGGTTTCTGAGAGTGCAGATTGATCCTCTGCTTCGGTGGCATGAATATGTTGATGGGGTTGCGTCTAGGCTTAAAAGGGGATTGTTGGCTCTGCGTCGCCTTTCAGGAAGTGTTTCCAGGCCTGTACTGAGGACTGCATACTTTGCTTTATTCCACTTGATCTTGTCCTATGCTATTCTCGCCTGGGGACTTACATCCCAACTAAAGATGATCTTCGGCTTGCAAAGGGCGGCTGTGTGGGTCTTGGCTGGGCTTGGCTATCGGGCCGACTGTGGGGAGGCATTTAGAGCTGTGGGTGTGTTGACTGTCCCGTCAGTATATATAATGGAAAATCTCCTTTATGTAAAAAAGAACCGAGACTTTTATAGGGTCCATGGAGAAGTCCATCACCATGAGACAAGGGGTAGGGATAGGCTTGTACCAATCTACCACCGATTGACTAGGTGCCAAGATGGACCTGGGTACCTGGCAGTTAAATTTTATAATAAATTGCCTAAAGAAATTGCGGACATGCCCCTTTTGCGGTTTAAGACTGAAGTTAGGGGCGTGCCGATGCGGTATTTCTGTTATTCCTTCCAGGAATTTTTAAATATTAGATTTTAGTGTTTTTATGTTATTGTCGATAGTGTGCTAGTGTAGTGTTATTGTCGATAGTGTGCTATGCTCTCTAGTGTTTTAGTGTTTTAATGTCTATATACAATTATTTTTTAACTTAGTATTAGTAACTCATTTATGTTTTTAAGCTTGATTTTTTTTTCCTTTTTTTATTATATTGACCTGTGTAAATATTATTGTATAGTTAACACCACACGTACAAAGTTATTAAATAATTAATAAATTTTTAAATATTTTATTTCAAAATCTAATTATAAAGCTTACAATATCTTAAGCAAAAAAGTCTAAAAATAATGAAAACACTCACCTTTCAAAAATCCGACGAAAAGCAGATAATACAGCGGCATCGTTAAAAAATCCACCATCCTCTCCTTGCCTACACTATGTCACTTTCACAGTGAGAACGTTCTCTCAGGCCACATTAACACATAAAAGCTTCAAATTCGCGGTGCAGACACGCTATTGTTCCCGCCGCCTTCGGCTCTCTTCATGTAAACGCGCCTTAACGCCACTTAATTAAATTTTCCGACAGAAAGGGACCAGTCGCGTTTAAAACATCACTTTTATGTTCTTTGTTGTTATTTTTCACGCTCACTCTGTGATTCTTTCAACGGTACATCTAGAATTTCAAGTGCGATACTTTTTGTGAAAGTGGTAGTGAAGGAGGTGAAAATGTGGCCAGTATGATTGAACGCGAACTTTAGGATCAAAATGATGTTTAGACGGCGTTGTTTTTAACTAAGTGGTGCTTCCAAGTGATGGAACTCGAATTCTTTATCTGAAACAAACAAAGACAAAATAACAATTTCAATTTCTTCTATACGGAGAGAATTTAAAGGAGGAAAATATTCAAAAATATATTATTTATAATAAATTATGGTACTTTAATAATTCATTTATAATTTTCGTATACTGACATCCAAGAAACGTTCAATTAACGTTTATTTTTATAAAAACATCGAAAAAATTAAGTTTTTATTTTTTTCTTCTTAAAATGGAAAAGCTATACAATAATGCAATTTTATGGAAGTATTACTACAATGAAGATAAATTATATGTATATTTTTCATATTTTAGCCGACCATACCGACAGGTATTTCACTCAAAATGAGTTATTTGGGTCATAAATGACCTAAATACAAAATATTTTCTTGGTGTCTGTCTGTCTGTCTGTTCGTCTGTCTCTCCGTCTGTAACACGATAACTCAAAAACCGCTAAACCGATTTTAACCAAATTTGGCACAAAAATACTGAGGCATCCGAGAATCTAGCCATTAGTTTTTGGTGGTGGTGGGAGGTTGGTAAGGGGTATGGAAGGGGCTTAAACATTTTAAAAAATCGTAACTCCAAAATTACAGTAGCTAGCGAAACGCGGTTTTCAATTTAAGATTAGAAATAATATTTGCAACAAAATTTGTAATAACATCAAAATCAGTCGCAGTTTGTGAGATAAAAAAAATCAATTATGGGCGACTATACGTGCCTTCCGGCGCCAATTTTTTTTAATATGGAGGTTAAACTACCTCTATTATTTTTCTTAGCCAAATTTAAACAGAGAAGCAATTTATAGGCAAATCATAGAAAAGGACATTGGCAAATCATTGAACGGTACTGACTGACACTTCAGTGTGATATTACAAGTTTCCTTTCCATAACATATTACTAAAAATAAATGAAATATACAGGGTGAGTTTTCTAGGATGTTCTCTATGGGTATCTCGGAAAGGATTGGAGAAAGAGAGTCGATTAAAGATGAAAGGGGGAAAGAATTGCAGTTCTGCAGTGCCATAAATATGCGCCTTTCGGATTTTTGAAAAAGTTTATGGCTTACTAGATATTTCGAAAAACAAAATTTCGGCTGTTTTAAATATGCTCCTTAATTGCATTATAGTCTATTTTAGACAAAAAGTTTTCAGATAAAAGTTATAGATAATCACATCCTTAATGAGACAGTGTACTACGTTTTTTTTCTAAAGCCTGTAATTTTTGACATAGACACAAACATATGTTTTTTAAATGGAAACCATAGTTGGCCATGACTTCATAAAAAGCGTAATTTTTAAAGCTTTCCAACGATATAAGCTATAATGTTTTTTTTCGAAAAATTACGAGTTATAGTCAATTCTTATCTTTTTTGACTAACTAATTTCACTTAGTTGGCATGGTGTTCTTATTCTATTATGATTTAAAACTTATAAAAAGACAGCATATTCTATTAAACGTGTCTTTACAATTTACATTAATCAAATTAAAACTTGAAAAAAAAACTAATATCACTACATACTACACTTACTCAGTTATTTTAGCAGATATTCAAAAAATCCGCCATTGTTTTGAGTACATGAAATGCATCTTTTTAAAAGTAAATTACAAGCTTTTCTCACAGAAAACGGCCGGTCGACTTTATTAAACTTCTCCCGTACCGCTCCTTCATGTGCCCTCTCTTGATTCATAAAAGTTCTCTTGCAAACTATGTTGTTAATAGGACAAGTGACCGAGAAAGCCCATGCAATTGCTCCACCTCTTCCTATCCCTGATGCTTATGATATAAATAATTTTTAACATTTCTTTCATTACGAAGGGGAGCGTCATACAAAAGTCATGTTGGTTGTAATAGAGTCAATAAAGTGGTTCTATTGATGCGCGAGTCTCTAAATTTAAGTTTAAAAAAAGTAACGTTCACCGGCCAACGTATTCTCGAAAATGTTCGTTAAAATATGTTACCAATAATCCCACACGCTTTTCTTCATTTGAAAAACTTATACAGGGTGAACGAGGGACTGAAGGTCCTGGCGACCTCACCTTAGCAACCTGTGCTTAAACCTTCCGGTTTCTTAAGTGGAGCTATTTAAATTAATATTTCTATTATTATAGTTTAATTTCAAGAATTTAGTTGCGGCTCGATAGGGGATATCTTTGGTTGGATATGAGTTTCACACTCAGTTTCACATCTCTAAGAGCAACGGCGATTGAACTTGTTTCCATGGCTAACTAAGTGAAATTGTGTAAAAAAGATAAGAATTGGCTATAACTCACTCATTTAAAAAAATATATTATAGCTTATATCGCTGAAAAGCTTAAACAATGGCGCTTTTTATGAAGTCATTACCAACTATATATGTTTTCCATTAAAAAGGACATATGTTTGTTATATGTGAAAAATGAGAGGTTTTAGAAAAAAAAACGGAGAACACAATTTCATTATGGATGTGATTATCTACAACTTTTTGTCTAAAATAGTTTATAAGGGAATTAGGGAGAATTTTAAAAATAACCGAAATTTTTGTTATTTTCGAAGTATTTAGTAAGCCATAAGCTTTTTGAAAAATTCGAAAGGGGCATATTTATGACCACAATCGACTTTCTATCTCCACTACTGTAGTTTACGAGGTACCTATAGAGAACATCGTGGGAAACTCCCCTGTATTTCTAGTGAGTGATTGCATTAACATAAACATTTTATTAATAAATTGAGAACAAATCGCGCATGAAAAAAAATGTGTTAAACAATAAGACAATTAAAGAAGGAAAAATTAAATACGCCCAATTAATTCAGCAAGATCAATGATAAATTATTTTTCTCATACGTAAACGTCAAAAATGGAATTAAAAACGACATATAGAAAATTATGAGACATAAAAGTTCTTCACACTCATGACTCATGACAAAAGAAAAGAACAAAATTTATTGTACTCGAGTAAGTAAAAATTACTTTATAGCAATATATTAGTACTGAAATATAAAAAGGGTGAAAATAATATAAAAAATTATTTTTTAAAATATCGACAAAATCGTATATTAGTCTAGTCCCTTTTTCGGAAATTTTAAGTTTGAGAAGCATTTCATATTACTTTTTGGAAACTACCCTTTTCCCCCTAATTCGACCCCGCTGAATCCGATTCTGCCTGCTGCCAGAGCGAAATCTGAACCAGAAGTGAGATATTCAAGATGGCGGCTAAGATGGCGGATTTTTTTGAAATTCGATATTTTTAGAGTTCCCATTGACATAGAAAAGTGACTGAGGTCTCTAAATACATATTTTCGAACATGACTAATTCAAAAATGTACAGTAAAATTTATTTGGAAAACTTTTTACGTCGAAATTAAAAAAAACATGAATTTTATCCGACATGCCTACAAAAATATGTTTTTTTTTTAACATGAGGAAATCAAAAATATGTTAACAAAAAAACTTTTGAGCTAATCTTTATTGTTAATTACAAAAAAATATATTCAGGCCGAATTTAGGCAGACACTTTTACATGGAGTACACAGCTTTATGCATTTTACATTTCCCTTCCTACAACTGCAGTTCTTGGTATTGCAAGAATTTTTGCAATGGCAAATTACAAATTCCATGCAAATCGTAGGTATAGGGTTATCGTAGGTATATAGTCATTAGAAGTGGGGCTGTGTGATTCCCGTCAATAATCCAGCCACAATCTTTAATCGCAGGAAGTGATGGAATGGCAATGTGAGCATTTTCCCATACACATACCTGTAAATTTTCAAAATAAATAATGCATTGATCTTTGTCCCAATTCAGTTCATCATAACATACTTGGTAGTCACCTCTTGATGTGCAGCCGAAGAGTATCCGTTGTTGGCGGCATATTCTCCGGTTTCTTCCGGTTATAGTAGCTCATTGTAAAAAAATAGTAGCTCATTGTATAAAATTCATGTTTTTTTAAATTTCGACATAAAAAGTTTTGAAAATAAATTTTAGTGGAAATTTTTGAATTATTCATGTTTGAAAATATCTATTTAGACACCTCAGTCACTTTTCTATGTCAATGGGAACTCTAAAAATAACGAATTTCAAAAAAATCCGCCATCTTGAATATCTCACTTCTGGTTGAGATTTCGCTCTGGCAACAGGCAGATTCGGATTCAGCAAGGTCGAATTAGGGGGAAAAGGGTAGTTTCCAAAAAGTAATATAAAATGCTTCTCAAACTGTTTTAGAGGCACCTTTTTTAAATTTTGTTACTAGTCTATATTCACGGTTGTCATTATAAGAGGTTTATTAAGACAGATAATAAGAGACTAAAAACAATAAGAGAATAATAAGAGTAAGTCATTTTTGAGAGAGGTTTCTTACAGACAAGAGAAAGTACTTTTTTTATATAATTCAGTTAGGACCGAAATAAAAACTCAACAGTTTTTCCTTTCTTTTAAATTTGTCGACGTTTCGTAAAATGTATTTGCATCATCAGGAAAATTTAAATATGGACTTTCTTGGTTTGGTTTGGTTTGGCACATAACACATGTTATTAAAGTATTTTTTTACTAAACTTTTTACTAAACATTAAAAAAACATCCAAATCACAAAAATTAATACAGCAATGCAGAAACCATATACTGAGGTATTCAAAGAGCAACTACTTCTAGTTGGTAAAACACTAATATGCTTATTACTAGAGATGGGAACTATCGAATGAATTACACTATTGAATGCTTACTGAATGAATGATTCCAACTATCGA